TTTGTATATATTATACATAAAAAAATAATATACGTGGCTAAATTTTTTTTATACAATACAAACCTGTAATATGTGGCACTTGTGTTTATATTTACAAACAAATTATACGTGTACCTTATAGAGGTTGTATAATACGTGTCTTAAATAAATTATATAAATTATGCATAAGCCGTAAGGTAGTATTGATGATATGTACTACACGGACCTCAAACTGAAAGATCATAATAACTTTTAATTTTGATTGTATAGCAATGAAGTTTCGCTTCGAATTTACGACCGAACACATTATTGCAAAGCAATGACCTTTTGGGTCTTAAAAATCAAGTAATAATAGAATATAACTTTATTATAAGAATGAAAATGGGCTAGGGCGAGCTAAGTAAAAAACTCAAGAGTAGCAGACATTTAAAGGGAGGAATCACTCGAGCTCTAACCCATAAAATGAGAGTTTCTTCCTGCTACTTCGTATTATCTGTTAAGTTAAAATTATTTTTACTATCTATCCAAGCACCTATTTTATTTAAAGTACTACTTCTAAAATCACTATTATTATAATAAAAATTTTTTATAGTTTTCTTACTAATCTTTCCCATTCTAAGACCACGAATCTCAACAGACACCGTATTACACATATTGTTGAAAGAATAATTATTGTCTGTCATAATCTTATCAAAAATAATTTTAAAGTAATTTTTAGTTGTCGAGATAATATCAGAAAAAGATAATTGGCTTGAGCCATTAGAAGAACCCAGAAAAGAACCAGAAGATCCAGAAGAAGAACCAGACGATCTTCGGGGGAAATTAGACATAAGTACAGATAGACCAGCAAATTCTTCGGATCTTAATGGAGTTACAGAACTCGTCTCAGTTATTTGGTCCAACTGATCACGAAGAGATTCATAATTAGCCATGATTTCTTTAATAGTTTCAATCATGGTATTCACCATTACCACAATTCTCTGTCTCTCGACAACAAATGTGGTATGTTATGTTGTAAGATTCGCAGTTAATCTTTCCACATGTGTATTAAGTTCTGCGATAAGTTGTTGTCTGATGAGGTATATAGCGAAACACGTGGTAATGAAAATCAGGTGGATAGAGATTTTCTCAGCGAATATCATTAGGCACATGAAGACCAAAAATAGGACAACTTCTGAAACATTAACCAATGACATATCTATAATAGGAAAAAGATTATTAGTAAAGATACATGAGCATGAATAATAACCTAGCATATATGCAACTCAAAATCAACCTTAATTCGTGTGAAATAGCTGAAATAAGTAGAGTTTATTTTGTTGCTCTTAGCGAGACTACTATGTCTGAAAAGTATTTTTATTATTTTAGCAAAGTTAAGGTACAAGATGCGAAAGCTTATTAAATAGTTTATTTTTATTTTTACTGATATTACTAATAAAAGCGTAGAAAGAAACGACTAAAGATTTTTGGATCTCTTTTATACAAGATTTCACAACTTAGAATCTGATTCATTGTATCTGTTAATAAAGGCCAGAACATACTGGAAAAAAATACTAATTACATTATTATCGCATTATTATTGGATATGAGCATTTGATTCAGATAAAAAAAGAAGACCCAATTCTAAAGACTAACAATACGCGGTCTGAGTAATATAAATCAAGGTATGTGATATTTATTAGCAGAGCAAGCACAAGGTGCTAAAGCTAGTATATCTGATGAATATTTACAGTTACAATGATAATCATCACATTATGATTCTGATTAATATATATATATGTAGATTTTCATACAATTGATAACTGACTTCTGAAATAACATTAGGATAATACATGATCTTATTTAGAATTTGACTCTCGCAATGCTACTTAATTTTTGGTTAGATATTGGATATAATTTTACCACTCAAAGTATATTTAGAGGTAAAATCATGTATAATCGATCATTGACAAATTTATCCTATTTTATTACTAAAAGTAGCAAGACTAACATATCATTCCTTATATTATAGAAACTTCGGTATATAGACCAAGTACTACATATATGCTACTGAGAATATGCTAGAAAGTTTGAGCAAAAACATGATAAGTTCAGGTATTATTTTATGACAATTAATCGATTCATCTAAGACATATATAATATCGCTACCACATATGATTTAATAGATTGTGACCTAGACTAAGATTTGCTTATGTTGAATTTACACATGACATCGTCCCCGAGGCCTATTATAACATAACATGATTTAATTTTGTAATCACAATCTAAATACTCCCATATAAGTCATAGATATCCTCAATTTCAGAAGTATTCTCATTAATTGCTTTGGGTATGGAAGCTAGGATTTCAGGTTCAGTTCTAGATCTGCGTCAAGGTCAGAATCAGAAGTATCATCCTTAGCATAATACATTCCAGAATTATAACGATCCATCTTATGCCTTATTGCAACTCTGCTAAGGAATTCGAGATGTTGTGAAGTTGGATTTTGACTACCATGAACTCTAGAAGCATATTTACCTCTAATTTTTCTTAATCTTTTGGCTATAATACTATATGATTTTAAAAATTTACTAAATACTCCTGTATTACGTTTTTCATTAATACTATAGACAGGATTGCATAACTTTCTAGTTGTTATTGAATCTTGGATTCAGGTAAGCAATTCTTTTATACGTTTTGAATTCTTTTCCATGGATAAAAATTGCTGAGGTTCGGAATTATTTTTTGCTTCTCCTTTATTTTTAATATACCCGATACAATACCAAGAATAACCAGACTTGTACCATTTAGGAGAATTCGATTCACTAGGTTCATAATGGATAATATGAAGAGTATCAACTTTAGCGGGTCTCATACTCAACATCATAATTACATCTGCAAGATCTTGTATAGTAGAGATTTTAGTAGTATTGATATTTTGAATTCTTCTAAGTCCTTCTTCTAAGGAAAAGTGTTTGGGAGTTTTAGGTAGATTGGATAATCGCTGTTCGAGTTGCTTCTTTTGAATTTCGTTAGAAGCTCGAGTAATTTATGGTAATTTGGCATATATATAAATTTCCTCAGAACCAACTCCAGCTTCTACTAACTCTCTACGAAATTGTGAAACATGAGAACTAGCTGCTACAATTGCTTTATCTATATTATTTTTTGGTATAGCTAAGTCTAAAGTATGTAACTAAATATCCCACATATCTTTAGTTTTTGCACAATATTGAGCTCTTTCCTTGATAGTAAGCTTTTTCTTTTTGTTGTTTGGAACCAGAGCTCCTATTTGATTTTCTTTGAATAAGCGCTGACAGAGAGCCTCTTTCATATCTTTACGAGCCTTCTAATTTGGTAGTATAGTACTAAGCTCATCGGTATGAGCACATAATTGAAGCAGGTTTGATTCGGCTGATAGGTTATATTTATTGAGGACCTGATCCAAAATAGAGGTAAAGCTATTAGTTTTGGGTTTTCTAGTTTTTTAGACAGTTGCCATAATAGATATGTAAATAATCTATATCGATAAGTAGAATATGATTATACATTAACCTACTTATTTTTTTCAATTCGAAATTAATTACGTTTTTTCCTCCTATATCTAGAAAAAAAAGGTTATATATACCTATAAGGTAAGTAGGATGTCGATTTGAAATTTACTAACATATAGGATATAACGAAAAAAAATTATAGCTTCGAATTGTGGAGACTCAGACTATAGTAACATCATTTGGTTTTATCATTTTATTTTTTACAATGCTTGGGCTAAAGCAAGTATATGATCTGGCTCTAAAACATTGCTCTTTATAAACGTATCGTATAATGCATTTGGTCTATGCTTTGATAGAATTAAATTTGGATGATTGAGGAATCTTGCAAGTATATCATTTCTCTATTCCCGAGTTTCTCTGCTATTCCAGTCTATTTTTAATAACTTAAGTATAGTATAATCATTATATACTTTGAGTAATACTTATAATAAACTTGTTTTTCTATCAATTAATGAAAGTAAACTTTTTTCTGGATTGTGTGCAATATCCCAAATATGATTAGATATGAACATAAACCATTTACCCAATACTAATTTTTTATGAATTAGAAGGACTAAAACTTTTTCCTCTTTCCAATGCATATAACCATCGCGTATCAAAACATTATATGCTAGTCCATTGATTACAATCATATGATTAGTTTTGGAGTTATAGATTTTTGGTTTTTTTGATCACCTAGCTAATTTGAATAACTTATCTGAGGTAATCGTCTCTTTGTTATATTCTGGGTCTTCAGTATACATTTTTATGTAGTATTGATGTAATATACAATGTCAATATATGTTCGATTATAATATTACAAAATAATTTGAAAAAGTTTAAATTGATTTTTATATACTATATATGAAAATGTAAGTAAAAAAATTTGTTAGTATTTATATAGAGTTTCATGGAATATGAGAGGTTATAAGCAATACTTCGAATAGTATCTTCAACACATAATATATTATTAAAGCCTAAAAAGATTTAAATTGGTTTTATATTAAATATATTTGCATAAAAAGTGAAACAGGTTTTATATGTTATACATTAAAACACTTTGAATAGAGTATTCAACTGATCAATGCATTAAAAGAGATAGTTCGAGACATTTTACCAGTTCATATATTAAAAGAGATGGCTCGATTTGCAGAAAAAGTTGCTGACAACCTGAAAGGTGTTCGTTGCACTAGAAATTATATGAAAAAAATGTAGCAAAAAATTTAGCAAAAATTCCTTGTAGTATCTGCGGAAAAGAAAACAATTCCAGAACAGGATACTGTCCTAAGCATGCGAAGAAGGTTAATTTTCGAAATTAGTATGAGAGACAAAAGGCACAGAGAATAGAAGCTGATGTGTAATTATACTCACTATATGACTATAGATATCAGTTTTAAGCATCACAAAAATGGTTTTCGTAATAGGATAATTTTTTACAAGTATCATTTTTAAGCTTTGCAAAAACCCCTTTGTAAAATATAACATATCCTCATCGAATAGATGATGATTTTAACAGATATCAAATAGATTCTGAGTATCTTGTATAATAGAATTAGAAGAAGTTTCTAATTCATTAGGTGAGAGTTTACTATATCTATATTGTATATCTTCGCCATTCTCGTAAAAGGGACCTTCTCCTGTCTGATATGAAGGTAATTTAAAAGCATCTTCACTATCAAATGGTCTAACCAGATAGTAATATCTGCAATTATTATCTATAGCTTTATACTTTATTCCATAAGTTGAAAAGAGTACTGAATTTAATAAGCCTAGTTTTGCTTTAAGAGTTTTTAATCCAGATTTTTCAGCACATCAGAATGAATCTGTATTATCAAAAACTCATGCTATTTTAGGGACCAATTCTTGAAGATATTTTATAGAATCAGATGATTCTAAACATGCTTTAACAATATTGGCTTTATATCTATTTCGATTATCAAATATCTTTAACTGATGTACAGGTCTTTAGTAATTCCAGACAAATTTGATGCTTCTCTGCTTGGGTAACTGTTATAAGTCTATCATTTCTATAATCTTCATGAATAATGGTCTCAACTGCTGTCTCATTATTAGTGCCTGCATCTCGTAGTTTCTAAAGATTTCTGAACCATTTTATATAATCATATTTACCATAATCTGTAATAAATTCTTCAGTTATAGATTCAGGTGATACTCTATAACAATCTGCAATATAGTACTAGTTTAACGTATACATTTCTTCTAAAGTCTTTCTTGGCTTGTTTTCTAGATGTTCAGCTATCTCATGATTGAGAATATTGGCATTAGCAATGTCTGAAATTTCTTCTGCTTTAATAGCTGAAGAATACCCTTTTACTGTTTCAGTTAATAACATGGTATCATCTTTAGCTTTTGGAGTAGTTTTTATTATAGAAACTACCATACCTGTCTTTTTAAAAAAATCTACTATTCTCCATTCAAATAAATGATAAGATCGAAATTTTTCTAATATGTGAGCAACTCACAATCGAACTATTAGAATGTCTTTATTTCGAATAATAGATTCTACATCTGGAAATATTCCTCTATTCTGAAGTTCTTGAGGGAGAGATTCATGTTTAGCTTTTAACAACCAGTGGAATAATCCCTCTTCGGTAATTAGGAGATTTAATGATCTTTGTTCGATGTGACATGTGTATTCTTTAATATATCTCATACAGAATAGCATCTGATTCGTCTCTGTATTAGTTTCTATATAACTTTTGAAAAGACAGAATGCATACTCAAACTTGGGATTAGTACACGAGACTCCTATTTTTAATGTATTTGTATATGTAACAAGATCTACATCCTTCCATGCCTCTTCCACATTGCTAAAATCTTGAGACTTCTTAATTAAATCTGATTTTTCATGATATATTTTGATGCGCAATATTAGAAATTCTCTTATCAAAACATGAGTAATACCTTGTACATCCTCTCTAAGATGACAAATGAGTGATACGCTTTTTCATTCCTTATTAGGTAATGAAGACATCACTCTTGCCCATTCCCAAAGTTTAGCTAATATGGTTTTTTTATTAGAAGCTAAGCAAAATTTTTTATCTTTCTGAGGCTGATAAGTATTATGAATAACTAAGAATAGTTTATTTTTGTGGAGTGATTTAATCTATTCTATATTGAGATCTGTTAAATCATTATCTATAACAATAATATGTCTTGCATTATAAATTAATTTATATAAATATTCTCTTGATCGTCCTGCTAAACGAGTATAGGCTTGACTATTTACAGATACTATCTCATCGAGCAATAAGTTATATGGTATTAGAGGACATTTACATTTTTTCTCGCATTTGTATTTGTTAATAATACAATATAAACTTTCTATTTGACATACTACTCTTTGATGATCCAGGAGATTTATATCTTTAGTATCAATATTGCAGTAGGATTTGAGATTAAGCCTTACTATAACTGCACTAGAATAAGTATATTACGTAGATAGAGCGAGCAAATTTATAGCTTCAGAGATAGTAAGGTGCTCTAAAGTATAAGTCTTTCCCATTTCCCAAGGTTATCCTACATATATATCACCCTCCTCAGGTAAAGGTTTTACATATCGCTCCTCATATACTTCTGTTGTGATAAGAGGAAAGTCATATTTAGCCTAAGCTGGCATTTCTAAGAAGGGTTTTGAGAACTTTGGACCCTTTATTTTATGAGAAATGAGTGGAAAAATATTATTTTTATTACTATGTAATGAGTCAAAGACTCTATTTTTTTGCTAGATTTTTTCCGTGATAGATGGGTTATTGAAAATTTTTATGGGTTCATCTCTATTTTGCTAGAAGTATTTCACAATGAATATTTCATCATAACACGTGTGACTGAACTACCGCTGATTCTTGTCATATATGCGTTCACAAATTAGACATTCTAGATATATTTTCAATTAAAGTATACATACTATTGAGAATCTTTTTCTTTGATATCCCAACTCCCAAGATATTTAGAATACTTCTGCAAAACTAGATTCGCATATTTTTTTAACGCATCATGACCCACGATTATTTTTTTTTGATTATTTATTTTTTCTATACTAAGTATACAGGGCCTTACTTCATATCTCAAACTAGTAGGTGGTTGAACTCTGGTGTTATTAAGATCATTCTACTTATTATCTAGTGAGTATTAGAGAATACGCTTCATATGATCTTTTTTTGCTGAACCTATTAAGCGGAAACAGAAATTTCGACCAGGTAACCCTCTATCAATAAACTTACCATATTTTTCTCCTGTTAATTTGTATACTAATTCTGTAAATTCTTTGAGCTCCTGATAATCAACAAGAAGAGTTAGAGCATATAGAAGGTGATAACTGCATTTACTATTATCAGATGATATCATAATTACCAATCCTTTAATAATTTCTTCCTAACTACAATCAAGAATTCGATACAATGCTCTTACAAATGAACAACAAATGTTGAAACTCACATTTTTAGTATTAATGTTTTCAGCTTCTATTTTTTCTTTAGATACGTCAATATCAATTACAGCTCTTAAAGGCCGTTTCTCATTAATATATTCATGAATTCCAGGTAACCCATATATCTCAGATATATTAACTATGACAGAAAATTTTGGTGCTTGTTTATCTTTTTGTCAATTTGGATAATCAATCTATTGGTTAATTTCTCTTGTGTATATACATTGAGCAGACTAATTCCTTCTTTTGCTCTGTAATTAGATAAGAGATAATCCTATAAATGTATATCCTCTAATGATCCTTTATTAATCGATATATCTCTAACAGGTGAAGAAATGATTTTACAGATTTTATTCATCACATTTTTTTGTATAAATTTATCATCAAATCTTTCTTGCCATTTAGGATATGTGGGGCTCACTTGTTCTGTGGAATATATCGTATTAGACATTTGTTCTTCTACTTTAGAGGATTGAGGTACTGGAGTCTCAATAGTATTGGTTTCATTATCTGATTTGTAATTAGAACTATAGTCACTGCAATTCTCCGATTTATATTCGGATATATTATCACTAAAATTATCTGAATTACTTGAATAGTTATTAGTTTCTCCACTCCCATACTATATTTGTTGTGCGTTTTGTTTGCTCATTTTTGATATTTGGTTTTTTTATGCTATAATAGATTTGGTAGTATATTATTCACAAGAAAAAAGTTTAAAATGAAAATTAATTCCAAAGTATAATTATCAATATCTTTATTAACTAGTATATAGATATAGCTTTTTATTGTTGCCCCTATATTCTTAGGACTGGAGAAGTTTGCAATCGAGGATGCTATCGGCCTGAGGGGTATAAAGTTTATTAGGATGCTCCCACGCGTATACCTTGCAAAGAATGTGGTAAGTTAACATTTTCTTCTTATGACTATTGTGATATCCATGCTAAAAAATATCGAGCAAGGTCAGAATATGATAAGAAAAAGCTCAAGAAGCTTGGTTAGATACAAGTGTAGTGAACACAATTTAAAAAATATATATCAAGGTGAAGCTAACTGCATAATATATATATAATAATTCTGGCATAAGGCTTCACTTTTTGATAGCATGTTTTCGGGTATACTTTGGGTATATGGTAAAGTAAAGCTAATGGCATAATATATATAATAATTCTGGTATAAGGCTTCATTTTTTAATGATATATTTTTGATATATTCTCGAGGTATATAATTGATGATATGTTTTTGGATAGATCAAGGTGAAGCTAACTGTGTAATATATATATAATAATTCTAGCAGAAGGCTTCACTTTTTAATAATATATTTTTGGATATGTTTTCGAAGTAGAAAACTTCAAATTTATTCATAGTTATATACATGCCTTCTTATATATATCATAAATAAAATCGAGTTAGATAACATATTTTTAACATAGGCGAAATCGAGGTATAGTTCTAATGCTAACTAGTATCAAAAATTCTAGTAATCAAAATCAGCATATATATTTGGTAGCAATAATTGATAGTATAACCAAATAGCGTATATATAGCAAACTCGATAGTATTTGCACGATATATTTCGTATATATATTTGATAATATATACCTGATAACATGTCTCGATAGCATAACTCGATAACATAATTGATAGTACTCAATAGCATTTGCGTAATATATTTGCCTTCATAAATGATATACAAATTGCAATCAGGTTGTCAAACTCGTGATAAAGCCAAGTGTGATGACATGAATATAAAATTATCATCATATTTTTTATAGATCATGAGGTATCTAAGTATGATAATGTGAACACAAATATGTTATCATATTTTTTATAGATCATAGGTACCTAAGTGTGATGATGAACTCGTGAACCAATCATCACTCGAATAATGATATAAGCATGAATTATTCATTACTCGAATGATAGAGTGAATACTAATATATCTCTGATGACGCAAGCATGAATCGTTTGTCACTTAAATGACAACAGGCACATCGTCATAAGTAGGTATTAGTCTAGAGCAATAAGTAGGAAACATTCTAGAGTAAGTAGGCAATGTTATATATATAATGTTGCCTACTTATGAAATATCTAAAAAAATTAGCAAACTGAAAACTAGTAAAGAGCTATAGTAGGAACTAAGATTGTATAAATATCACAAAAGTTTAAGCTAGATGAATTTTAAAAATAAGCATAGAAGAAATAAAAAAACTCTTACCTGTTCCCTCTAACTGAGGGACCGAACATAACAAAATAACAAAAAAACACACAGAAAATTTTTTAGATACTAACAGGACTAAAGTCCCTAAAGTTAGAAAGAGAAAACTACTTATGAGTACTATGCGTGCCAACAAAAACAAAAGAATTAAACTCTTAGATAACAAGAAAATTTTTGACCTTTCTTCGCTCTCAGAAGAAGAAAATAAAGAAAACATACTAAGTTCCTCAAACAACAAAAACACCATCACTTCTGAGCAAAAAGTCAACAACTGAGCAGACAAAGTCGAAGCAGAAATGCTTAACAAAGGCAAAAACAAGCAAATAGACTATGCAGAGGCTTCTTCAAGCAAAAACAATGAAAGCTCTACCTCTTCTCTGAAAAAAGAAACAACAAAACAACACGTGAATTATAATATAAACAAAAGTCACGTGGAGGGAGCTAATCAGCTCAAGTGCAGAAACTATAACTAAAACTAAGCCACTTGACTTTACAGATAGCTCTGAAACTAACAGTCTCGACTAACCCAAACCTAAATGATAGTCAGACCTGTTTACCAAACTCAGAGGTGACAAAGCCACTTACAAACAAGAGGCCTCCAAAAACAAGATCCTCTCCAAAAATGAAAATGCCTTGGTCTTTAACATCCAAAGCCTAAACAACATATCTACAAATAACATCATTCTATCCTTAACAAATTCTCTTGATGAAGACCTCCTTGCTGCCAAACCTCATTTTAGCAGAGGTAAAAGAGCTTACCTAGAAGTAGTTTTCAAAAATAAAGCGCAACAGCAGCACTATGCAACAGAAAGGATTAACATATTCAAGCAAATGATTTTTGGATATATTCCTATTAACTTAAAGAGAAGCTTTCTCTCTATTAAGATTAGAAACACACCTTTAGGAAACAAAGACCAGACTAATAAACTCCTCTTAGAAACTTTTCAAGATTTTGAAACTATTTCTTCAGTTAAGCCTCTACTCTTTGAGGGAACCTCAGTTTGCTCAGACTAGTGGATTATCTCATTCGAGATAACTGAAGACCCAGACCTTTCTAAAAGGCTCCCAAGAACTACATATGTTGGTAACCACAAAGTTAGCACTGAATAGAGAGAAGCCCCAAAAATATGCTATTACTGTGAAAAAGAAAGCTACGTAAAGAAAGATTGCAAAGAATTAAAAGATGCAATTGCTTTACGTGCATACTACAAAGAATTAAAATTACAAAAAGAAAAAAACCACACTTATGCTGAGATTCAGCCAGAACCTAGCTCAGATAATCCCTATGTCCAAGCTCAAACTAGACAAGAATTGCAACCTTCAGCAACTAAGGAGGAAATCTCTATTCCACCAGCAAAGATGGCTAATGAAAAAAAAAACTCTCCAAACTAAGATTATACCACAGAGAAAATAGAGGACAACAACTCAAATCTAGTACAAAAGTCAAACACCTCATCTTCTGATTCAAAACTTTCTGAACCAGAAGATGAAACTGTAACAACAGATACACAGAAAAACAAAAAAAAGAAGAATAAAAAAGGAACACATGAGAATGTTATAGTAATGACAGAGGCAACTACCTCTGGACAAGGCTCTTCTTCTCATTAGGTCATCTTATAATCAATAATAACAACCCAAAAACAATCTCATTCAATTATAAAAAAAATTACAATCGCAACTCTCAATATAAAAGGCCTAAACAACAAGGCCAAAGCACACAAAACTCTAATTCTCTTAAAATCATATAATTTAGATATCATTACACTTTAAGAAACAAACCTCAACAATACAAATTCCAGAAATTTCTTAGCTCAGCAATGGAATTTTGACTCTTTTTGGTCTTCAAAAGTAGCAATTCTAGCTGGCAACAAACAAACCAAAATAATTGAAGCAAGAACCTCTTTTGATGATTGAGTAATCCAAGCAAAAATTTCTTATAAAAATAACACCTTCTTGGTCACCAACATATATGCACCTCCAAACCTAAGAGACAGAATCAATTTCTTCAACAGCTGGTCCCTATCGATTGAGAAAGACTATATAAACCTTATAACAGGGGATTTTAATGTAAATTTAAACCCTAACAGAGATCGAATAAGCCAAGCACCAATACAAAACGACCCTTCAAGAGAGCTAGTCAAGAATCTAATGATAGATTTCACTGACACAGCAGAAACTTCAACAAATAACTCCTTCTTAACTTTCTATCAAAATACTAGAAATAACCACAAAATGGCTACAAGGCTTGACTACATATTCATAGACTCAAACCACAGCTTCTTAAAAAAAGAAGTACAAGCACGATTCGGCAACTCAGACCACCTTCTCGTCGAATGCACCATCAGCTTCAATTTAACCTCTGCACGTACTTCCTTATGGAGATTCAATCCAAAATCTCTTTCTAACCCAGAAACTAGAGACGAAGTCCTTAAAGAGCTCCAGAGAATTGAAAACCTTGATAAATGGGACCTGCATAAATGCATGATCCAATCAATAATTAGAGCAGCCAAACAAAATCCTCCTCCAGAAAAGAAGATTCAAATTCTGCAAAGAAGACTAACAGGCATAAGCAACCGAATGGCCAGAGATCACAGACTTACAGATCTTCAACTAGCACTTGAAGAAACTAAAGCACAGCTTCAAGATGAATTACAACTCCTCTCAGAGAATTAGCAAATTAGATCTAATACTAAATGGATCAAGGAAGGAGAAAAATCTACAAAATACTTCTTTGCTCGATACAAAATTAGACATGCAACATCTGGTAGCTCAAAAATTAAGGATCCGAACTACTCTGGCCTACCAGACATAGCCAACACCTTATCATACATCAAACGCTACTATGAGAATATCTACAAGTCAGAAAGTATTGATCTCCTAGTAGCAGAGGAACTCCTACATAATACTCCAAAAATCTCACAAAATGCAAACAGTGCCTTAATTAAAGAGATAACAGAGGAAGAAATCGAATTAATAATTAACAAACCTCCAAACAACAAATCTCCAGGCCCAGATGGGCTTACATATGAGTTTTACAAAATTCTAAAAGAAGTCCTAATCCCGATTCTTACTAAGCTCTTTAACCAGATCTTGCTAACAGGACTAATTCCACACTCTTGGAGTAAGAACCTGATCACACTTATTCCGAAGAAGTCTGATAACTTAGAGAATATAAGCAACTGGAGACCAATATCCCTGGTTAATAGTGACACTAAAATTTTCATGAAGATACTAGCAAACCGACTAAATATTGCATGCAATGAAGTTATCAACTCAGCTCAACAGGTGTTTGTTTCTGGAAGATCTATTTCCGATGCTACTTTAGATGTCATAACAGTACTAAGAAACCAACCAGACCAGTCCAAGCAACACTGGCTTCTCTTTTTAGATCAACAAAAAGTATTCGATAGAGTTAGCCATCAATTTATACAACT